TAATGAGTAACAGATGTTTACGTTTGGCAATATAGCTACTGTATTGGCAACAAACCTCATTTATAAAAAGAGTGTCTTTTCAGTGTAATTTCAAAAGTTTACCGTGAGCTCCTTATTGTGAGCATAAGGACTTACAGTAGTTTTTTGAATAAGACATTCCTTTATGAAATGAATTAAGAGCAGCAAGGAACACAGCTTTATTGACCAATAGCTGGTAAAATTTCAAGTGCCAATAATTGAACAGCCGGCCAAACAAATGCTTGAGTAAGAAGTCCCCTATTTACATTGAGGAGGCACCTTGTCACAGCTGAAATGGCAAAACCAAATCTTATCAAATATGCAGTCAATTATTCTAAGTAATTTAAATTAAACCAATAACTATTTTTTATTGTAAAGGAATTATGTGATACTAAAGGATGTCACATTTCAATAATTGTGACTTCTTATTATCTTATCTCAGCAAACCAGGATTGAACACATATCCCAGGATGTGTTTGGTTTACATCATAATGGGTTTAGAGTATTTACTTTAGCATGTAATATAAGTGGTATAAAGGAACTGTCCTGAAATATTACTGTATTTTTTTTCAGTTAGCAACAACAATAATAAAAAAGTATTGCATAATTTTCTCAGCCCTTTTCAATAAAAGAGGACTAGCCTCTGTTGGATCAGGTTGAGAAGTGAGAACTTGCTTAACAATTTCTGTTATGGGGTAAATTGCTTCACCAGCTCAATTAATTGGGAGAGAAATTCAACTTCATATGACTTTAGGACTTTGTTGTCTGGGGATTCCAGTAGGGAACTTATGTTAAAGAACATCAGAAGTACTGATGACCCATTGAACAGTAGGTTTTTGTGTCTGAAACGGGTTTAAAGATTGAAAAAAAGAGGCATGCTGCCAGAAAAACTCCAAACCACTGTAAAATTAATTCTGTAGCCTCCTGTAAAAGGCAATGCATGCTTTGCTGTGACTACTGTATATAGAGAATACATAGTGTATTTGGAGAGTAAAGTGGACATCCTGACAAAAATATCACCGTTAACTAAACAACTTTATTGAATTTTATTTACTTGCGGGAGATCTGTAAAACTCTTTCCTGTATTCACACTCATTTATTCAGTGCCTTTGTTTAGCAGACAGCGAATGTCAGACCCAGACATAGATTATACCCCCATGAATAATTCCATTCAAAGACAAGTTGCGTCATCTTATCCTCATGCCCTCTCAATCTCTGGAAAGTTGTCAGAACGCAGCTATTAAGATTAAAGCTTATGGCTGGCTTATACACAGTTACAAATGATCCCCACTGTGCAAATCAGACATTATCAGATACAATTAAACAATAAAAAACACAGAACCATTCAAAGATTTTTCTATTGTAATATCTGTAAGATCTGCAGTTGGAATATGACTACTTATAAAACACCATAAGGTGTTTACAGGTTTGTGGAAGTACTAGATACTAACATATCTTATTGTTGCATGCATAGCGTTGTCTCAAAACCTTTAAATACATACTGTAACTTAATTCAGACTAAAAATGAATTTTTGCACAAATGAGGTGTTTCGTTTCTTGCACGTCCATTTAATTAATAAATGCTTCTCCTAGTTTAAGATGTTTTTTATTTAAAAAAGTGAAAAGCCTTGTTTGTAATCAAGGGCCAGATGTTTAAGTTTATTTTTTGGCAATATCCATTCTGTTTGTATGCATTTTGAATGCTCTCTAAAGCACCATGTGTACCTGTAGAAAACTGATAGGTTACTCAGATTATGTCCTCAGGAGTGTGGCAGGAAGTGAAACACCTCAAGACCTCAGTGGGAAAGCTGAGAATTTCTAGCTGTTTTACTTTCATGGCTGTAGCACTTCTATAAGGCTAAGTACCGTATTGCCTTAGTGGACTGAGAAACAGAGTCCCTTTAGCAATGTCTATGGATTCATAGTAATCCATTTCAATTAGAATATCTCCCCCTAGCAGTGTTCACCGATCCATACCATTTTAAATGATATATGCTAGCACTTCCCCTTTCTGACACAATAATTCAGAATATTAGAAAGACCACAAATGAAAAGCCACATTTGGGCACAGAGCAGTGTTTGTGCTGGGGGCAATCTCTTCAAGCATGCAACTACCACACAACTCCAGCATCACCACCACTTTATCTGGAAGGGAGAATTTGGAGCTGCCTGTCAAACCTTGCTTGCATGTCTTTGCAAATTCTGGTATTATAGTTATAAATAAGATGATTTTTAAAAGACGTTATCTTGCACCTCTAGTACTACAGTCCCACGTAATTTAAGAAATTACTGTCTTACCATTACCATTGGATTTTCCTCAATAATAGTCACTCTAGAAGTGTGAAACAATAGTTCAGGTCCATATAAACAGCAATTCGCAAACAAGTTAATAAGCTTGTTTTTTTAATGTGACTTGGGTTTTCCAAATTATAATTTAGAATGTAATGTTTATTCAGAATATAATATTTCTTAATTCAGAAATTCAGAAGTCAGAATCAGAGGCATTATGAAATCATATGACATGCAACACATGAAAGATGTTGACATTATACAGCTGGCTTTCTCTTAAAAAGGACTTGTAATATAATTTTATGTGTCTCCTGAAGAAAGCTCAATGGGCAAACATTGCATTTACAGTAGTCTGTCTGCTTTTCAGCATGGAATTAACCTTTACTTGTTCAATAATCATTTCATCTGCTCTTTCTAAAAGTGTATTTTATTGATATTACAAAATCCGTAAAATCTACATACCATAACTTGTTTGTCCTAGATGCAAATGTGTGCTTTGTCAGTAAAAATTAAGGGACAAAAAAAATCAATTGATCAATAAACCTGATAAATGTGTTTTTTTAGACGAATGTATTGCCAAACCAGGAGCAAGGTTCTAATGTAAATTAAGCAAATCTTAAAATATAAGATGGAAATACAGTATATATTAATAGCTTTAACCCACAGCCATCCTTTATGGATGGAACTGGGATTTCTACATAGGATAGGAATAGGTTTCATATTAGTAAGCCTTGCTTGTGAAGCGCCCTCTTTAAACCTTTCTCTGGTGTTGTTTATGCTTTCATTTATATTTCTCACAGACAAATATATTTTTGGCATTATATGAAAAGAAAGCAATACACCAGAAAATGAGACCAGTTAATAACCTGAATTACAGTACTTTAATACTTAAAGTGGGAGCAGACAGACATATTAACTTACTGCCAGGAAGCAAGAGAGAGTAAGAGACAGCTAGGGAGTTACATTTAAGTTTTAGTTCAGAATAGCAATAGCAAGCAATATAAATGTTTTCATTCAGTCAGTAAAGAGGACACCTTTACATATAGGTGAATGCTAACTATCATTTTTGTATGTTTTTTTAACATTTTGTGCTGAGATTGAGGCAGTGAAACAAATCGGGACGTTTCTTCTCTTTAAGGTAGCAAAGCATTTGGCATCATAATGCAGCTCTCTTGTATCGGATGTGGTGCTTTGATTTAAGAGATGTGGCAATAAAAATAATGATTAGAAGCAAACAGAAAGTCACTTTCGGGACATTTGCTAGAGGGTCCTGTAATGTCATTATAGCCTTTAGGAGATTCAGGGTGATTACAAACACCAGAGCTGTTGCCTTTGTATAAGTTAGTGACCTGCAGAAATGTGACTGTAGTGCCTAGAAATAATTCTTCAAGGTGAGGAATGTGGAAAAGTCCTTTGTGCTTGTTCAAAGTCTCTGCTCCCCAAAGATGAATCCTTTAAAGGGGCCTATGAATCCATCTGGAATTCCCTTTTCTCCTCATCTTCTTTGCCTTGAAATTGAGTTGTTACACAAAAAAATGTCTTAGTGTTCTTTTAGAATGTTAGAATTATCGGACTTAATTCTGTTTATATCCCTTTAGGACGTTAGCATTCCCAAAACCACATAGCACCCAGGCAGACAGGCGAGCCAATCAGCTGAGCCACAGAACCAGTCACGTGACCCATTGGGTCAGCATTGCCTTGGAGGCTTCAAAGAGTTACCCCACTCTAATTAAATGTTACATTTGCATTCTCTGTATTAAAAGAACCAAATATAGACCACAGAGCCTGTAAGAAGATTCATCAACATCGATTTTGACAAAAAATGACACCAAAGACCAAGTTTGCATTAACTTTGGGTAAATAATTTGGGTTTCTAGAAGGGTATAGCACAGTATTGCATAGCTTTATTGGTAGATATACAAACATCGTTTGTTCTTCATATTGTTTTACTTTTAAACTGAGGAATTGAAAACCCTTTGAGGTGTTAACATGAAAGGTTGCATATAAAGGAGATATTTCAAATGCTGTAACAATATTGAAAACCACAAAATGAAGAAATCATCGGCCCACATATGATCAGTAATTAAAATCGAATCCTCTTGCTTTGAGCAGTCACTTGAAAGCAATCTGTAATTAATGTTTAGCTCATTCTCAAGGGGATTGACTGTTAAAAAGAAAGTATGTATACATATGTGCAAAAGTGAATGTTTACATTATAATAGTATATATATTTAATTCTGTTTTCTGTTAAATCAAGCCAAACATACAAAAGCCCATTAAAGCAGAAGCTAAGGTATTTGGGTCATGACTGTTATGTTATGCTGAAAGCCAGAATTTTATTTATAATGATTTATCAGTTTTTACACTGTAAAGTCTATGAATCTTTGTTGTATATTTTTTCCATCACTCTATTCTTTAAAGCTTCTTTGAAAGGTATGGAAGATTTTTTCCATCTGGCTTATCAAATGCATACTGTTGTAATAAGATGAACTATGCTACTGCTACTTCAGCTTCTCCTTTTTCTGTTATTATTGGTTCCTAAATAACTTATATTGGTTTCCACCTATGACGTGTACAGTATATGCATATACTGTAGTCTGCCGTGTATAAGTACAGTATGTATTTTGGAGTGTCTTCTATTCCCTAAGCCTGTCTTTTTCAAACCTGTCTGTTTTCTGTTTTTCTGACCCTAGGCTATGGAGAGTAAGTTGCTGGTGGGTGGAAAGAACATTATTGATCACACCAACGAGCAGCAGAAGATGCTGGAGATGAAGAGACAAGAGATTGCAGAACAGGTCACAAAATCCCTTTGCAGTCGCATCTATTCACACTCCTGAAACACGTGTACACCAGGGACCTTAGAAAAAAAAAGAATTTACAGCATTATTCTTATGTTGGACAATCATAAAATAAGAATTAATATGAAAATAGTCTAGCAGGGTACAGGTAGAATTTAAATTTAATGCAGTGTTTGCATCTTCAGTTTTTGAAGGTTTTCCAAATTTCAAATTGAGAATGTTGTCCTGAAAAAAACGAACACAAGATTGTTATGAAGATAATTAAAATTAGACTGCAGTGTTGAAATATGATTGTGAAGCCAAAAAAGCTTACAATGTTGCAGAAGAAGTGTAGCTTCTTATGTGTTTAGCAACTTAGTTTTCAATATTATTTGAAAGGCCCTGAGGAAATCTATATGAAACCTATGCTTTCTGTCCTACTTAGCTGGGTCCAAAATTGAATTTTCAATTTTTTTGGAACTAGAGTAAATGCACAGAGATTTTAGTAGACTTTAGAAGTTTTATTCCACCTAAAATTGTCCAGAGAAGGACAGGAAATCTAAGGTTTTCTGGCAGTTCAATGTTTATTGTTCTGAAAATTTAGGCTCTTAACATTTAGATCCCCGGACTTTAGATCATTCCAGGACACAAGGGCATGAAGACACAATCATCATAATTATCATTGGACCATACTATAATAAGAGATCTACTGAAAGTCAGTCACTTCAGGCAAATTGAAGAAAAGTCCTGAGACAGATGTCTTTCAGTTCTTCAAAATGAGGAAAATTAACCTTGAAATGGTTTTGCCTGTTAAACAGGCACCAAAGACCAAGGCATTTTTAAGGTTTAAACAGGGAATACCACATTATAAATAGTTAAAATGTCTTTAATTTTTAATGGGAAAATAGCTGTGGTGCCAAGTCATTGTGTATTGCATATTTTGGCACTGTAAATATTTCAGAATAAGACTTCTCAAGGCTATTGCATTAATCCTTTTTATGCAAAGGCTACTTAATTTTTCTCACTGGTTATTTAATATTAAAAGGGCTTCTTTGCTACATAGATTGTGTTTGAATTACCAGTAAGCTACACTTACTGTTGTTACTCCAATACGAAAATGACATATTTGCTTGTGGGGAAATTAACCTAATTTGCAAATCTAGGCTGTATTAATTGGATTTCTAATTAAAGTGGCTGTATTCCACTACATCACATATGTTTTTTAGAAAAGAAAGCAGAAATGAATATCACTCAATATTACTCACACAGCACATTAACAATTTATCAATAATATCACATATAATTTGTATAATGATTCATGTAATATGTTTGCATTATACATTAATGTATTTGCCAGAGGCTCTTAAATAATTGCATACTATGGTGACTTAGTTATTTGTCATTCTTTACAGAGTGGCCAGCTGCTTTCAGGTTGGGAGGTATTATGGGTGCAGGAGCCCATGTTCTAAGTACTGGTGGTTTCTACCAGTGACTGACATGCTAGGTATTGACTTACATTTAGGGCTACAGTGCCTTGATTTTCAATTATTTGCAAAGAAATTCAGACCCTTTATAGGGTGTCCATTTTGTGAAGTTTCAAGAAGCTTTTTGTAGACATTTGTTTTACTTATATATGTGATTTAAAACTTCGATGCTTAAGTTACAGTAAAGATTAGCAAAAACTAAAGAGAAAAACACTGAAATACAGTATGTTAAGTATGAAGTAAGTAGTTATTTGGTGGCAGTTCCCTTGGTGGCAATGACACCCGCCAGTCTTTTTTGGTAAAAACTTTTAGAGCTTGCCACTGATTTTGACCTAGATATTTGTTTTTTATTATTTTAAGCTGGAGCTAGTCATTCTTTGCTTTAATTATAAAATGTATTTTTTTTTCCACAAGCCTTACATAGTGGTTGAAAGAACACAAATCTGTGGAATTAACACAACGTACAAGTTTCTCCTGCTGAGCTATGGCAGATGTAGTGCTTTTCAGTCTCTGTTCTATGCCCAGGTCATACACAGGGCTTTTATGTTGATGGAATGAGGTCTTTGCTTGTGCTGACAGTAGAACAGCATGATTGGAAAAATGTAGCTTTAACAGGAGTGGTACTTGGCACTGATTACCTGAAATAGATGTAAGCAAACCTCTAATTAGTGCAAAATTACTAGACCCCCTCCGTCTTTGCTACATAGTTACAAAAAGTACACCCACTCAACAATACATGACCTATTTTCACTGACTTTGTGCTTCTCAGTTAAGAATTTCAGATATCATTTGTTGAAGAAAGGATGGAGAAATGTAGGTATTTTTCATTACCTACAGTAAAAGTTAAATAGGAATATTTCTGCAAAAATTATACAAAACTTTCTGACAACCAGACAGATGGAAGATGTTATAGAGCATACTTTTGAATTATGCAAGTGCTAGATTTTTTTTAAAAAGTTTTAAAATGGAAGTAAATGTCAAACAATATTTTTTTTATTTATGCCCCATTGTTATTATTTGTAGTTGGAAGGCTCGTGTGCACCAAACATTTAGAGACGTTTACAGACTAATTTAAGAGTAGTCTAAGACATTTGAACATCATGGTATTATTCAAATGTATTAACTGCAGTTTAATAAAAAAATCATAGTTAAACTAGCAAAATAAAGCAAACATGAAGCAACTGATGAAGGAGCAGGGAGTTTATAGGATTATCTGTGGGAAACATTTCTGCACAAGGTTCACACACATCCAGAACTTAAATGGCTTTCTTCCAAGAACAGAGAAATGTTAAAGACCATACCAGCTTAGACTTTAAAGTTTTGCCACGAAGGCATTTGATCCAGTATCTTATTTTTTGTTCTGACTATGCATGTTCACTGCACCACATAATTATTATTATAAACACAAGAATAATGCAAAGTTTTCTTCAAAATATACCTCTCAAAGTCTTGAACCATGGTAGATGTCCTAGTTCTGTGTCCAAATACAAAATATTAGGCATAAAATGCATGCTTACTTAAGAAAGCAAATTTAGCGCACCATCTCATTTCCAGGCAGCAACAATTAACGTTTTGCATAGAAGTATGTGAACAATCATTAATATAACCAAGTCACTTGATGTAATGTGGTGCATGTCTAAATCCAGATCTGGAGCATTTCTGAATCCAGATCCAGAGCATTTCTGAATCTGGATCTGGAGCATGTCTGAATCCAGATCCGGAACATTTCTGAATCTGGATCTGGAGCATGTCTGAATCCAGATCCGGAACATTTCTGAATCTGAATCTGGAGCATTTCTGAATCCAGATCCGGAGCATTTCTGAATATGGATCTGGAGCATTACTGAATCCGGATCCAGAGCCGAAGCTGGATTTTCCCAGCCTGTCAGCTTCTCTAACCCTGGACCTCTTGCTCCCCCTGGCAGAAGCGGCGCGAGCGGGAGATCCAGCAGCAGATGCTGGTTCAGGACGAGGAGACGGTGGAGCTGAGAGAGACGTTCTCCTCCCTGCAGCAGGAGGTCGAGCTCAAGACCAAGAAGCTGAAGAAGGTTGGGTCTGGGAGGGGAGGGGAGGGAGAGGGTTTTAGGGTCTTAATTTCTCATTGAGATCGCAGCGGTTTCATGAAAAAAGAAAACTGTCGCCGGAATTAAAAAGGAAAAAAAAAGGAAAAATTGGGCTCCACACCTCTCTTTTGCATGTTTTGTTTTTATTTTGCTCTTGCACAGTTTTACCAGGGATTATGAAAAATGAACCCAACGAATACAATATTTCTGCATCAGATTTAGGGAACCGTGGAATTAGCTTTTAAAAATAATGCTAGAATTCTTGCCTGGCAGATTGGAAAGTTTTGTTCATTGTCTGCCTTTGTTTCCTGTGGCATATTTTGTGTGGTTTCTGAAGATCACTGTTTAGTGTTGTGCCATCCCTGTAAGTGTATGGGCAGCTCTGGAATTATGTGCAACATTATAACCCCAGGGAAGGGAGTGTGGAAAATTATTTTCCATTAAATCAAAATTTCAAGGACTTCAATGTTTTCCCAACAGCATTCATAACAGTGTCTGTTTAGAGTGGTTAACTGAAAAATAATACAACCACAGTATTATGTAACGCATTCAGTGATGTGAAAAAGAAAGTATGCCCTCATAAGATTCTATGGTTTTGAATATTAAGACATACTTGACCTTCACCTTTGTTCGTGTGACAAATAACACATTATTATTTATTAAACATAAACAGCCAACATTCGGAAGCCCTGCTTGAAAAAGTAAGTGCACCTTTTCTGCTATCAGGTGCTGTATCAGCTGCGGCTAAACAAGTGCACGTGATTAGTTGATCAGCAGGAAGTGCTTCCACCTGTAACTTGGTCAGTTTGGTGTGGAGCTTTCAAGGTTGTGGTTACGTCATGTCTAGGTCAAAAGATATCTGTGACAGTCTCAGAAAAAGAATCGCTGCTGCTCATCAGTCTGGGAATGGTAATAAAGCCATTTCCAGGCAATGTGAAGTCCATCATTCCACAGTGAGAAAAATAATTTACAGAGGGAGAAAGGTCAAAACAGTTGCCACAGAAGTGTCTCTGTCAATATGGCAAATGTTCAAGAGTTCATGATTCTACCATTAGGAAAAGACTGAACAAGAATGTCGTAGAAGGGTAGCCAGGAGAAAACGACTTTACTCCAGAAAGGACATTGCTGCTGGGCTTAGGTTTGCAAAAGAGCCCCTGAATGAAACACAAGGTGTCAGGAACAATGTCCTGTGGACAGATGAGCCCACAGTGGAGTTGATTGGTTGTCTTGCAAAATTACATGTTTGGCGAAAGCCTATAACACTGCATACCACCACAAGAACCTCATACCAACCATCAAGCATGGTGGTGGAGGGCACGGTTTGGGGTTTGCAGCCACAGGACATGGACGCCTCACAATCATTGGGTCCACCATGACTCCCTCTCTATACCAGCGCATTCTAGAGAAAAATGTGAGACCATCTGTCCAACAGCTGACTCTTAGCCAAAAGTGGATCATGCAGCAGAAAGTTATCCATAACACAAGAATAAATCTATGACTGAATAGCTGAAAAGAAAAGAATCAGGATTATGGAAAAGTCCAGTCTCCAACCCCATTGAGATGCTGTGGTGGGGCCTAAACAGAGCTGCGCATAAACAGATGGCCTCAAACATCACAGAGCTGAAGCAGGTTTGTGAGGAGGAGTGGGCCAGAATTCCTCCCAGTTGATGTGAGAGACCGATTAACGTTAAATACAAGTTATTGCTGCTAAAGGCGGTTATACACCTTACTGAATAATGGGGTGCACTTACATTTTTGCTTAATAAGTAATGACAAAGCAAAATTTGTGAGTGTTATTTATCACACGAGGTTAGATTTATCTACTTTTAGGACTTAGTGAGGACTAGATAAAGGTCAGATAGGCCTTAATATGCAAAACCATATCATAATCATGAGGGTGTGTACTTTCTTTTTCACATCACTGCAAAAATTGAATATATATTATCAGATATCTTCAGATTTAAAATCTGTCTGACTTTGGTTCTGGGTGTTTATAGAGCTACAAGTCTGTTTGTAACAGAAGATGATACTTAAGATGATACATAAAAATACATTTACTTTCCTTGGAGTTTCCCTTTCTTTATGTAAAGTGCATTGGAGTCCTTTGGATTGAAAACTAAAAAAATCAAATTATTATTATAAATATAATAATAATTATACTATCATTAATATTATCTGTATTTATAATGAATTAATGTATATAGTTTATTATTAGAAATATAATAAATCTACATTCAGTTTAGCAATTCATACATTTTAAAAAAACTCAAGCACATGATATTAGTTTATGTAAAATAAGATCAAATTGAGGGTCTAACTGCAGTTTAAAGTAATGTGAGATCAAAGTCTTAGTCATTTAGTTGGAATCATTAACATTCATCTGTCATTATGTTTCCCAATTATAGCTTATTATAAAAGGTATTTATAAAACATTCCTGTAAGAAAACATTATTTTCTATTTGTAGGAAAACCTTCTTATGTGTAGGTGATTTCTCAAATTGGTTCATTTGCCTTTTCAGGTATCTTTGTCCATTTTCAAATAATTAATGTTTGCCAAAGAAATTTACAATTTTCTTAGATACTTTGATTAACTAAATTTAATATAGTGTAGTAAGAGATTCTTGTATTTTAACTTTAATTAATGAAGCTTTTATCTCTCTCAGCTGTTTTGTAGGCTCCTAAAACAATTTAATTTTTTGTAAAATCATTTATATATGATTATATATATAATATAAAAATAAATATATATATTATATAATATATATAACAGCGTTTATATGTAAATAGCCTACTATTACATGTTAAAATGTCAATTGAATCCCTTTTTATTTACTTTTAATTTTAATAAAAATAATTTTGCTGCACTCCCTCCAAAATGCAAATTATCTGTAGTTGTGAATGTCTCTGGAATTGTTTACTACTAAGACTATAAGGAAGGTTACAAACAAGTGAAGACATTTGGCTCATCTGATTCATTGGTTCCTAGCAATGAAGGTCCAAGGATCTTATCCATTTGTCTCTTGAGAGAATCCTCTTCAACCACAAGGTTGGACAACTTTGATAAGATCCTATGTCAATGTTATCTTTTTCATACACCAGTACTACCATAGGACCATAAGAAAGGGTACAAACATGTGTCTATTTGGTCCATCTCGCCTGTTTTGTAATTAGTAGTTTATTGATCCAAGGATCTCATCCAGATGTTTCTTAAAATAAACCAGGGTATCAGCTTTAGCGCCATGGCTAGAGCTTATTACATTCTCCCACAACACATTGAGTAAAGGAACTGTCTCTTCTTTTCAGGTTGTAGTCCTCTCCCATGTAGTTTTCACTTGCACCATAAAGCAAATGCACCACATTCCCATGATCCTGATATTAAAACTCTCATGTTCTACTGACTGAGCTATCCAGGTCCTCTGGTGTCTCCTGTAGCTGTCCCATATGCCTTGGTACTGTACAATGCTTCTGTAGATTTAAACAATTCTATGTGCTAAAATGAATTTAAATTTAGGTCAACGATGCAAGAAAAAAAGAGTATACTAACATGTTTAGTGGGGCCAGCAGGGGGCGCTCACCCTGCAGTCCATGTGGGTCCTAGTGACGGGGACACTATACTGTAAACAGGCGCCGTCCTTCGGATGAGACGTAAAACCGAGGTCCTGACTCTCTGTGGTCATTAAAAATCCCAGGGCTTCTCGAAAAGAGTAGGGGTGTAACCCCGGCGTCCTGGCCAAATTTCCCATTGGCCCTCACCAATCATGGCCTCCTAATAATCCCCATCTATGAATTGGCTACATTACTCTGCTCTCCTCCCCACTGATAGCTGATGTGTGGTGAGCGTTCTGGCGCACTATGGCTGCCGTCGCATCATCCAGTGGATGCTGCACATTGGTGGTGGTGGAGGGGAGTCCCCATTACCTGTAAAGCGCTTTGAGTGGAGTGTCCAGAAGAGCGCTATATAAGTGTTAGCAATTATTATTATTATTATTATGTTACCAATTTTGGAGGGAGGACAGCAATAAGAACTTTAAATCTTAAGACTATTGCTTAACTTAGAATTCAGATTTAAGAAACACTTTCCCTTCTGTTTCACAGGCCTCTGTGCTACTTAAACACACAGAGAACCATCAGACTGTACTCAGTGGGTACAGATGAGAATTCTGAAAACATTATTGCAGTGGAATATTGCAATAAAGGAAGAATAGGAAGGTCTCTTTTTCCTGCAGTCTAACATGACTATAGATGTTGAGTTTATTTCTAAAGCTTCATGGTATACTGCATGTTTAACTATCAGTTCCAATACAGTGGTTCCGTTTCTTAATCAAAATATCCGTTTTCTGCCCTATTTTTAAATGTCTACGTACTATAAACTGGACTGTTCCTGCCTTCCTGCTGTGCACACTGGACACACACTCCTGTATATAACAGTACAAAAAGGTTTGTCTTACCTTCTGATTCCCATACACACCATTGTCACATGTGCCCCAACCTTGACTGACTCAGCCTCTGCTATCCATTTTCCAATTGTTTCCAAAAAGCACACTGGAGATTTCCAAAACATAAATTTGGAGGAGTTCTGCTTTGTGCAGGGGCTGAGATCAAAGGGTTTCTTTTCCACTAACACCAAGTTTCAGACTAACTCTGGTCTCGGACGTTTTCCCTTTCAACCTTCATACACAAAGAATGCTTTGCCCACTGATGTGAGAAGCCTGGCTTTACTTTGGTCACCCTGTTTACTGACTGCCACCATTTTACTAGTTCAGTTTCACCAACCACAATTAAACAAGAATATTATATAATAGATATAAACACTAATGAAAACAGGCACAGAGATGAGGAGATTTCTTTGTGTGACTCAATTAAAACACAATATAGCAGCAAAAGGGGGATTGCATGTAAGTAACATACATGTTATCAAGATGTGTTGTGCTGTGGCAACGTATGTATGAAAGTAATTAATTTTAAATTATTGACTTCATTAATGCACATGAGCGTCAGCATGGCCTCTTATACTCTGACAGCAATCCTGGAAAATCATTACTGAATTTGAACAATTTCTAAAGAAAATGCTTTGACAACTGGAGTGGTATATATCTGGTATATTTATGGTATATTTGGTAAGACATATTTGCATGTTTTCTTTTGCCTAAGCAAGGGCTTATTGTTTTTTTAGGTAGGGGTGTGACAAAGGAGCAAAATAATTGAGAATCTTTTGTTTTGCTAAATATAGTATGGTTATTTTATAATTATAAACTTTATTTTATATAGCACCTTTAAAAGTAGCATCTCAAAGCACTTTAGAGCAGGTGTAAAAAAGAGTTATAGGGACAGCAAATTATAAAATAAGCATATAAGAAAGATAAGAGGTTAGAGGTAAAATAATGAAATAAAAGCCTTACTGAAAAGAAGGGCTTTGAGTCTAGATTTGACACTCAGGTTTGATCAGAAAAGGCTTGTCACATGCTTATTTTATGTGCTTTGTTGCAAGAAGCTGATGAACTGAAAGCGCAGCCTAAGATTCATGTTAAATGAGGCTTCATTTATGTTATAATTTCATGATTGGGGGACACATTAACCTTGGCATTGTGCAAAACCTTACATTTATGAATTACTTTTGTGATTTTTTTCTTACTTCAGCTGATACAGCCTTAAGTTAAAAGTGTGAGATTAGTAACAAGCTACCAATTCTTAAGTAGGAAATGTGTCTTATGTGACCTTGATGTGAAGTACCTTCATATTCATGTGTATTTCTTAGATGTATGCAAAATTTGCATACATTTTATTTTTTGCCCGGCATGGGGTGTTTTTCAATTGCCATCTTGGAAAGAAACCATTTTGATTACACTTTTCTTTAGAGATTATTAATTACCATACAAATAAAAACTATTCACACTGAATTGTGCACAGTCTGGATTCAATAAAGAAACACACAAGTACTGAGACAATCAAATTAATCTTAATATATAAATGATATAGCGAAAATGTGAAATATCTTTCTGAATAATTTTAATTTATTGTACAGATTGTGATAAATGGAAAATAAATAGTATGTTCGTTTCTAAATCCTAATTTCTGATACAACACCATCGAACCAGTTCAACACCATCAAACCAGTCACGTGATTTTTTTAAAGTTATTTGTGTGTTATCCATTGCTGAAGTAAGCTCTAGGAGACAACGCATTTGGGAGTCTTCACTGGAGTTTTAAAAGTGCTATTGTCTGTTTTAAAAACACTTTGTCATACAAGTCTGTATATTAGTATTTTTCTCACATTTGTCTTTTGTTTTCCTGTAAATTATTTAGCTTTTGTTGGTCCTGGAGGTCTGAAGCAAATCCCAATGGTGTTATGAACATTAAAACCACTTTAACATGATTGGTTATGTTTTCATTCAGATATTGCTTGAGATACTAATATTAACATTTCCTGTGTGAAGATGAAAACATATTTTGCATGATAACCTTTTATGCTAATTTTTAACTTCAATTATTTTTATGCATGCCTAAAACATAAATTGAAATGAGTTTTGAAATTTAGGATTGCCAATGTTGTATTACTCTTTTAATTAATATTCATTTAATTTTTATTTTGCCATGAACTGGATTTTGGTGGGCTCATATGTTGAATGTTTTTTCTAAAAAATATGCTTTTGTATTTATTTAGTTGAATAACACTGCATTCTAGATTTCAGGCTTATTAAGAAATACGTTCAGAACTGAAGAATCTGCACATAAATTCTATATTGTTTTTTTTAATGTATCAGTCAGTCTAAAGGACATTAATAAAGGACATAAATAATTAAAAACACCATACTTAATTTAGATTCCCTACAGATATCATGTCAGAAGCTGGTTTTGAGTAAATTGATTAAAATGATAATGAGAGGAACATGAAGAAGAAGAAATGGGAGAGGTCAAACAAAAGTTAAAAACAATGTCTGTGGCGGAGTAATAAAATGTCATTCATCTGAAAAATGGCTTAAGAAATTGAGGCTTTGCAGTTCTCTCAATATTTTTGATTGAGCCCCTACAAAACTGCCAATCAAGAAACCTTTAACCTTTAAAAGACTGGAATTTAAAATTACTTAAACAGTGCAACAGTAATAGATACATTGATTTCCCAAACATGGCTCTCTAAGCTCTCCTGGGTATTTGAAAGCCAGTGAATAAAAGCCATTATCTGAGACTCTTAGCAATGAGAAAAAAAACCTAGAAAGAGTGGCTGCATGGAGGGTAGAAATTGCACACTTGACTTCCTAAGACTGTGAGTAGAACACATTAGAGGACCTGTCTGTGTATTTCTGGCAGACTCCTGAGGCTCAGACAAGCTGTACAGTGTATCAAAGCATCTGTGCATTTGTGGTGATTGGTGATTTAACAGCTGCCAGATGTAAAGAGTTTGACAGCCAAAAGTGATCTGAATAAGAGCTGACCGTGGGCCATTTATACTAGGCAACACAACTCTTTGATTTGTTTTTGTCTAGCTGTACTCCAAGCTTCAGGCCGTGAAGGCTGAGATACAGGACCTCCATGATGAACACGTGAGAACCAGGCAGGACCTGGAGCAGACCCAGAATGAGCTGACTCGAGAGCTCAAATTCAAGTGAGTTTCGGTGATAGATCCGCAAATTAGACAAGGGGGACTTTCAATCCATTATACCTAGCGAGGAGACTGTTTTTTTTTTCATTTGATTACTCAACTCAAAACATAATGGTTTATAAAGTATAAAGTTAAATAATTTCTCATATGAGGCAGTACTGTGACGCAGTGATTAGCATTCCTGCCTTGCAACACTGGGGCTCTGGGTTCATTTCCTTGGGTGCTATCTGTGTGGAGTTTGTATGTTCTCTTTGTCTTCACCTGGGTTTCTGCCCAAAGTCCAAAGACATACTGGTAGGTTTATTGGCTTCTGGGTATATTGGGACAATTGGCCCCTGTCTAAGTGTGTGTATGATTGTGTTTATATCTGTGTGTGTGCGCCTTGTGATGGACTGGCTCCTCATTCAGGGTGTATCCTGCTTTGAACCTATTGCTTGCTAGGATAGGCTCCGGCACTCCCACAACCTTGTATTAGATAAATCTGTTAGAAAACTGATGGATGGTTGGAATGTTGCATGTAGCTTTGGAAATATTTACATGTAAAGGTGGTATACTGTATGTGAGAGGCAGTATTTCATCCTCAAGTTTTCCTTATTCTCTTTTTCAGTTCTGAGGAATAAATGAGTAAAACCATAGCATAAAAAGCCTGTAGAAACAAAACTTGTTTCAGGAAATATGATTTTTCAGGAAATGTTATAAGAGAACATTGAGAGGAAACATGGCTAAGCAGCACTTGGCCATTTTCCCCATAAACTTCAATATGGATCTACCTTATTGAATTGTGTGTTGCTGAATTTCTAATTACATTTTAAACTCCAGAAAAGGAGGAAATGCAGAAACAGAGCTTGGTTCCATATTCACAAAGAGAGAGGAGAGTATCTGCTGTAGACATAGTGTTGCAATCCCATGACCAATAAAATGCTGACAGTGCCTTTCCTGTTTGGCCAAAAGCGATCTGTTTTCTTTCAGTGTTTCTCAGACTGGAAGCCAGATGTATTCCTGAAAATGTTCCCTTGCTTCCGGAAACACAAATGCAAAATGCATTGTGTCTCAAAAAAATGTTTCCTCATATATTTTTTGTTGAAATCCTAAAGTTCCGAATTGTTTTTTCTAAAGCTGAAATGCAAATCTGCAATAGTTCTGCAGCTCATGTAGGTTGATTTAAATTACATGAAATTAGCGAGTGTTGAAAATGTTTCACCCTATCCACACGTTCTGTTACCTAGCTTGTTATTCCAGTCAAGCCATGGGTGTCAGGAAATATTCAGATGTAATTTTACAGTTTCCCGTTTTTGGCTTTGACTCATAACTGGACAAACATCTCCTGGGCTGCAGGTACCTTATCATCGAAAACTTCATTCCTCCGGAGGAGAAGAACAAGATCATGAACAGGCTTGTCTTTGATGCAGAAGAGGATCAGTGGAAGTTCCAGCCCCTTGTCCCTGCTGGAAAGTAAGTTGCAGATTTTGCTTTGACGTGGAAGTAAGGTAAAGAACAACAATTAGAAACCAAATTGCAGCTGATTTTTTTATACAGTGTTTATGCTTGATCTCATAGGAAAAGTCAAAGTTGATCATATTTTGTTACATACAGAATTTTCACTTGATTGAACTAGCTGTAGCAAATTGAGACCATAAATATCAGGGAATGGATAAAAGGGCGAGTAACTGTTTTTCTATGCCTGTAACGGGTTTACAACTCTAGTTGTAGTGGACTGTAGCTTCATACCACTTGAACTCTAAATTACCAAATTGATCTTATTATTGTCTGACTTGAGCAAGATGAACTACTTTCCCCAGTTCTTTAGGTTTTGGAAGTATTAAAGAGACCTGCCAGATTGCAGCCCTCCAGGACTAGAGCTGTGCACACATGGCCTATAATTATCTAAGAGGTCTCAATATTTCCCAACCATGAAGAGAATGCTTTTCTTGTTGTTGTTTTTTTTTCTGAGAAACAATCTTAATCTCAACATGGTATTCAAAACAACAGATGAAACAAATATTATTGCATTTTGTCTCTGTTGCTGTTGGTGTACATGAAAAACGTCTGTCAAAAAGGTCCAGTTGTGTCCTGGGAATGCTCTTCTTCTTCTTTTGACGTTAACAATGACAAAACACAAACTATACTACACATAACAAAACATACAACACACAAGCTACTATGTCTACACAATGTACAAACAAGGTGGTTCAAAGGCCTAACATTCTAATCACCCAGAAAACCGGACTGACTTCTACTATTGAACTCTTACATGATGCCTACAGAGGCCACATGAGAGATAAGCTGCCTCCTAACTAAATGCAGTACAATACATCCTGCAGTTAAAATCTCTCTCTCTGCACTCCGAATGTTAAAAATTAAATGGGAACCTACAGTATGTACCTATTCTAAAAATGCACCCTAAGCAAGAAAGACATCTCTAACCCAGGAAACCAAGTTCTCTAAAAGTACAGAATAGCACACTCTCTCTAGCAAGGTTCAGATACGTAGCTCCAGTCAGGTTTTGTTTGGATGATCATGAAGTAGGGGCTCTCGCCTGACATAAGCTTCTGGTTCCAGCTCCTCTCTTCTCTCTTCATCCCTTCTTCTGGATGTTCCCCTTCCTTTCTTGTTCTCTCTTTCCTTCTTGTCATTTTCTCTGTGCTCTTAATGTGATCTTATATGGTGTTTTTCTGTATTGCTCATTGACAATCATTAACCCTTAACTTGCCTAGGTATACCAAGGTGAACCTTACGATGGTTTCTGATCAAAGGACCCCCCACATCTCAACTGCTTTGAAGCTAAAAGTGTTTGCTCTGCCAAGTGTCACAAACTTTACCTAAAATCTTAGAGGCACTTCTCAGTCACCTAAAGCTGTAACAATACAGTAGAAATAAAAATATAATAAACACACCATATACTGATATACAGTAGCCCCTATCTTTAATGTGCAATTTGTTTGTTGTGCTGAAAACAAACACAGAATTCCATGTAAATCTCAGTTCAGTATTTCTGAAGATTGTATTTAATTTTGTAATATAATTCCATACTAATTTGTGTCAGTGATAAATCTTGCGAAATAATATCGATGCAAGGTGCTGAGTAACAATGTGTTTAGCATTACAGGCAATGATTAGAGGCCCTGTTGTCTGGAGTGTACTCCCCTGTTAAATTCCTGGTACTGAGGCACATTAGCTTTGTGCATTCCAACAGTAAATTGGAACTCAGCAAGCCTTTACCAGTATGCCTGAGGGCTGAGCTGGCAAGTTCCCATGACAGGGCACAGTGGTGTCATTCTCACTGTGGTGTTCTGACAAGGTCAAAGAGGAGACATCAAAGCAGTGCTCACATCTGACATGTGGATCAGAGGCTCAGGAAGCAAGCATATATTGAGTTGAAATTACTATGCTTCAGTTTTTCTGTTGATAACTGAGGTGAGGATAATATGCGGTTTATTTGGGGGCACCTCCATGAAAAGATTTGATCATTCTGATAAATACTGTTTGTGCTTAGTCCAGTGATTTCAGGTGACGAAGTGTTGGGGCACCTTCCCTTCAAGAGAATTTCAGAGTGTAAAATTTAGCATTCCCTTTGAGATAATAACTGCATGGAGTCTGTATCCCCTTAAGCTCACCAAACTTTAAATAGAAAGGCCTTTATATTGTACTAATCAATCATATAAATCTTATGATCACAAATACAAATTGCTCAACTGAAAGGTAAAAATAACAATTTTGATTTTACAGTTCAAAAGGCACTGTACAGTACATTAACTTAGTAAAGATTCAGTGCTCAATTTACATGTTAATTTACTATAGTTCAGTTCCAGGAAAACTTTAAAATCCCATTCTCTCTCAAAGTATCTGAGGATTATGGGGCTTTTTGGCAGCCCTAGATTTGCATATCTGTATATTCAGTTGGCTAAATTGAAAAAAGGGAAGAAAAGGGTTGTACAATTTCAAAATACAAATGTGTTGAAACTAAAACCCTTCTTTCCGCTCATAATTGAGATCTCCGAGGCATAAATAGTTTTTTGATGGAAGAATAATTGAGTGATTGATTGGAATGTGGTTCCTGATTTGATCAATAAGTCATTTGGCTCCCTCAAGCAGACAGTTGGTTTGTTCAGCCTCACAGGAGCATGTCATCTTCTGGCTTCTCACAAGATTAAATAAACTGTTTCTTGAATGCTTTTACCCGATGAACTAAATTATGCCTTTTTTTTTTGGTACGGCGTGATAATAAATACTTTGTATTTTGTTTAGACCACTTTAGTTTTTTTGCTTTGTATTTTTGACAACATATGTTAATTGAAGACTTTAATTAAAAAGAAATTGGATTGTGCTTTTTCCTCAACACACACATGATGTGTCCTGTCTCGTTTAATATATCCAACCACCTTAGGTCTGATGTTCAAATGTGATTATTCACTTTATTTTATCCATTATCTGTTTTATAAACTGACTTTTCGTCATCCCTAAAAGTGGAAATCCTATATGCTGTGTAAAAACAAGCAACTCACAAGACAGCTATTTTCCTCTTTTCTGAGCATACATATTGTTGAAAAAATATAGCTCTTTATAATTTTATAGACCTATATTTTTTTCCACCTACTCTCCAGAAACCTGCTGATGTTCTGGCCTTTCTGTGAAGCCATAAACACACACACACACAAAAAAGTTGCACCGCATTCTGTAATAATACATTTGCGTCTTTATTTTCCAGCAAAAATATTCAGATGAAGAGAAGGCCGGCTTCAGCAGTGGGCTACAAGAGACCAATCAGCCAGTATGCACGGGTTGCCATAGCAATGGGAGCTCACCCTAGATACCGGGTAGGTGATAAAGGAGGGTTATTTGGTAGAAACAGACCCTAGGGATATTTGAATGGACCAATTCTATTTCAGTTCAGAAAACAAAGAGTGTATGTGCAGATTCCTTTAAAATCTCACAGCTGGTATTATAGACCCATACAGCAAAATATATTTAGTGTTAATGAAGCTTATTTTAGCCCTGTAAGCTTAGGGAGAAGGATAAAAAGAGCACTGATTTTAGATGGCTTTTCTGTTAAATGCCACCACACTCAGACTCTGCCAGTCAACACTAACAAAGCAAGCACAAGGGGATTATGGCTGGTCTGCTATTGGCAGACCTTACAAAAAAGACACTGCCAAGTGCAAATGATTTTTATTTCTAACGACAGGAAGATGTTTTTTATACTGCTTATGCCTAAACTATATATATGAATTAATTTTGGAAAAAGACCAGTCAGTTATTCACATAAATGTATCGACTAAAGCTGCTTTGACAGTATGAACAAATAAGCCGTACAGTATATATCTGTAAAAATATAAATGAACTTCCAGGAGAGTGTGTGATGAATGATGAAATGTCATTTGGCTATGGAATCAGTGACTTACAATCTCCCCAGTTTGAAACATTTGATGGTCGGACAGTAAGCAGCAAATTGGTGCCAAGATCAGAAAGCTTTGACAAAGAATGCCAGCTTGACAGTTTGCTTCAGTCCCAGGCCCCTACAGAGTGGAAAAACAACGGTATAGGGCAGAGTCAGATGTCTCAAAGACATCTTACTGGAGATAAACTTGTGAAAGGGTAAGATGATGATCAGTAAATGGATAATGAATTAAATCCGCATTTCACTCAGATGTTTACCGGAGAAGAAATAGACATAATAGCTCAGGATAAGCAAATATATTATTTTGTTTCCTGGTAAACCCACCACAGAAATTTTCAGATCTGTGGAGGGAGCTTGTAAACATTTGAAAAAAATCCACAGGCATTCCACACCTATGCGATAGCTTCTAAGAAGAACAGTCTTGAGGTCAGCAACACTGATGGTAGCCATACAAAATTGATTTGCATTTATACCCCCTGTGTGACATTATAGAGACCAAGATAAGGAGTTTAAAGAATTCAAAGACTGAGATGTACAGTATACACTGCCTTAGGAATGCTCAATACACTGAAGATTTATTTTGTTTTAAATCTTATAACTCAACAACACATCACTTTGCTTTCCAAATAATAGCTTTTTTATGGGTTAAGGAGTGTAATGATCTTTTTATTGGACTAGGTTGTGCTTCAGTTTTTCAGCTATGGACTGCCTCTAACAAACAGAATAAACCAGTATGTGATTTAGTCAGTATGCTTAACATTACTGGTACTGTATTTGTCATTAATATTGCAAGCTATTTTATTGCTTAAAATATTGCTTTGATATGACAATGTTTACTTTTGCAACAAATACAGATACATATACTGTATATGGGAAACATTAAAAATCTTCCAAATTTGATTTACAGTACGCCAAGAGCTGTTATTTGAAATTCATTTAGAAAAAAACAACTTTATGAATCTTGAAAATATAGTATTTTACTAGTCTTAGCTTCATTAATGAAAACTACATGCACAAGATAAACTCAATCCCATTGAGGCCCAGGCACAACTGTCTCAGATTAAACAGGACCATGACCAATACAACTGGAGCCCTGCATGTAGTCAGCACTTCAAAACTCTTACCTGGCTAAAACCCTTTTTCCAAATTTCTGTACTTGTTATGTTGAGCACAGAGCTATCAGACACATCTCTATCATTGCTCTCCTAAGCTCTGTAGCGGAATAAATGACTGTTGATACTTAAATTAATGCTCATGATCTCTCCCTCCAATCCACGTAGCATAATCTGGATAAACGACATAAACTGTAACCATGCATATAGTTATGAAGTCTTACTGTAATGCATCATTACTGATTTAACTGAAAAATATGATAAATCTGGGTCAAAGCCGCTTTTATTTAGTACAGTAAATAGGAGTATATTGACTGATTTGAGACTGACAACAGAGTGTACTGTATATACTGTTAGATTTGTGGGTATATGGGAAAAACAATATCAATCCACGGTGTCAATCGATCAATCTTTGTTAGCTGCCTACGAAGACTTGTCTCCCAATGTAATTTTATGATAAATATGTCGTTCAAAATATTGTCTTTGTTCCATATATTTTCCAAAGGATGTTTTAAATTTGTAAATGAATTTAGTTCTGCACTCTGTGGCCAAACTACATGGGTTTGTGAGATCTCCTTTTAACATGATGAGTGATTGATATAGAACCATAATCAGGGAACTTTGTGTGTAATCTATTTCTCACCTCACTGGGCACCAGCTAATTATAACATAAGACAGGTTACAAATGAGAGGAGGCCTTTCAGCCCATCTAGTTAATTTCATTGCCTGTAGTGAATTGATCCAAGGATTTGTCCAGCAGTTTCTTGAAAGACACCATTGCTTCTACCTAATACTATTGGCTTCAACCTAATAGCTGGGTAGCTTGTTCTATACTCCCACAACCATTTGTCTAAAAAATACATCTTCTTCTCTGACATAAATACATTTCCCTCTGGTTTACATCTACTGTATGTCCTTTGGTTTGTGTATCACAATTGATTTAGGTAGTGACTTGGAGGATTTTTGAATACTTAAATCTGGTCCTCTCATATTCTTCCCTGCTCAATCCTTAAAAAATCATTTCTTTAGCCTTTCAGTGTATGACGCTTTATACACGCTTTATAAGTATACCTGCTTATCTCTTCTGTGCGGGTTACAGAGCAGTAATATTTTTGGTAATGTTGTGACAAAAATGGTGCATAATATTCTCAATGAGGCTTTAGTATTGTATTGTGCAATTTTTAACATCTGTTGATTTGAATTCCGTGCATTTAACAACATATCTCTTTAAACTCTGTTTGCCTTTGTATTATGTCTATATTGATTAAAAGATAAAAATGATATATGTATCAACAAAAACACCTGAAGTAAATATATTTCTTTCTCTTTATCTCAAGTAATTTAAGATCAGTGTTTTCAAACTTACTTATTGTTTTAAAAATCCTATAAATGCTATAAGTTATGATACTTATTTGTGTGAATTTTAAGTGCAATAGTTAAATGACTTTTGCATTCATGAACTTTTCCAATTTGTGTTTCATTCCTTCACTTATAAGCGGGCTTGAATTGCAAGATGACCACAGATATTTATTCCCATGTGGAACTGCCGTGAAAACGTTTGTCCAAATTGTAGATTAATAATGTACAAAATCTTTTTCCATAACTTCATTACAATTGTGTTGCTTTATCTTGGATTTTAATTAAATGATGCACTCCTTTGCCCAAAGCATTAGAAAGCCTAACAAATAAAGAATTGGGCAGGACAGCGTGAGTGAGGAATGGCTTTCTATCTTGAATCTATCATGAATGTTTGCTTTTTTTTTTTCAGGCTGAGAACATCATGTTCCTGGAGCTGGATGTGACGCCACCAGCGGTGTTCCATTTAGACTTCCCCAAAACTCTGCCAGAGCATGACCTGGCCCACCATTTGAGCAGAGACCTGCTGCTTGACAATGCCGCCTACAGAGAAAGAACCGCTGCCAACCGCGTCAGGAAGTCACGCTCATGGTGAGTGAAACAGGGTGCCTTCAAGAGTCCTCAAACCATTAAGGTCTGATAAACCAGAAACATCTATCCACGTGGTATGCAAATTGTTGTTCCACTCACTTCTTTCTTATTGAGTGCTGTTTCCTGACTAACAGGTAGCCATATAGAGAACCACTAAAAAGGAATACGTGTAAATAAACGAGCAATTGACATATCTGTCAGCAATTCTGCAATTTCCCTCACGGGATCAATAAAGTATCTATCATCTGTTTATCTGAGCCAGAGTGACTCATTGGGAGTCCTTGTCCTGGTTTTCATGGTGTTAAGAGGACGAAAGAGAATCCTGGTCCCCATTTATACTGGGTGGACTGGAGTATACAATACAGTATATTATAGAAACAAAGAAAATAGTCGGTTTAAAATAATTGCTTTTGTGTCAAAAAGGTTTGCATAACATTGTACCAGATTGATTCGCTACAATGTTGTTGATATTAAGGCATCCTCTCAAAACGTGCCACATTGCCTTGCATTCTATATGCCGTAGGTATAGGCACTGGCATCATTGAAGAGTTTGATCTAAGTTTGATCTATGAACACTGTAGCCCTGAGAAGGAAAGTCAGGGCCAAGGAGTAGAAGTATAGAAATCACAGTTTCAGAAAAATGACAAGGCTATGGAGGAAATTCCAAACTATTCAGTAGTGATAAGAAGTTTCTTGAAGTAAATTCTTTGTGTGAAAAGTGCTGATCCAGCAGAGATTTGGCAAATAGCCCTGATGAAAGTGCAGATGCTAATGTTTCTTCAAATGTGGTAAGAACTACATTAGCACAGAATGGCTTCAATAGGTACTGCTTGCTTGTGAACGTTTGCTGGGGAGAGGAACAAAAAAAGAACTACCAGATGTTTCCAAGAAGTTGCAAAGTAAAAGAAAGCCTACAGTTCTGAATTACATTATTCTTATTATTGATCGTTTACTGTGGTTAAAAGTGTGTAAACAATGGCATACAATCCTTATAAATTTAGTTCATACATTTGGTTGTCGAAAACAAATTGTCCATTCAAAAAGGAAAAAAAAAAGAAAAATACATATTTTTGATAAACGTCTTTGTATTCTGTGTTATAATGTATAAAGCTCTCAACATTAATTTAAAATATGAACATGTCACATAAATAAGCGGTGCTAAGTTTTCACCAGTTGAAGGGTGGGTTCTGTTATATGTACTGTATGTGTCCATTTTAGGAATCTAAGTACGACACTTCTTGATCACCTGGCCTTCATTCTGGGATTGTCTACTTCCCTCTTCAGCCAGAATAATATGGTGTCCATTGCTTGTGCTCTCTTCTTTCAAGGTGTCAAGCCCCAAGAATAGTTTCATCCTCATCTTCAAGCTTCTCCCTGGCTTCTGGATCTCCCTACTTCCCCCTCTCCCAGGGGGCCGCAGCTCCTTCCCACCAGTGAGGCTGCTCTCCTCCTGTGGAGAAAGCAGTCACACGAGGCTTGTACGGCCTGCTTATAGCTCAGGCGCTGCCAGCTTCCAATGAGTCCTGTGGTTTAAGAAGTTTCTGTTGTCTTATTTTTATGCAAGAGGAGCTACTAGGTTCTTCATAATGATTTACTAAGCATAAAAAACGGTATTTCGGGATGGAGGTTTCATCTGAGCCAGTTACCGAGGCCTGCAAAGCTCTTCATTACAACACAGAGATTGTATTTAACCTCATTAGCTTGTGGATGACGTACAGTACAAAAGCCCAACCCTTAAATGTACAGTAAATGGTGGTAAAATGCTGTGCTTAGTAAACATTGTGAGGCAATCAAGCAATTTTTAGGTTTCTTGCGTAAAATGTAAAATTACTGGAAGAGCGAACCGCACTGTTTTGAAAAGCTTCAGGTTTTTAACTGGGGAAACCCTGGTTCTAAATAGCTGCAATGGTCTTGAGTTTTTCTTCTTGGGTTTTCTGGGTTTTTTTTCTAAGAACACTTACTGTCTTGAGAAATGTGTCATGCACCTGAAGTTACTTGAACAGCCAATAGTTAACTGACATTTTATGTTATTTATTTGAAAACTGAAGAATAAAATGTAACATTTGTGGAAGTTTATTAATCCCATTCATTCTGGAAATGGCAGAGACTAGTATATCAAGTACCATAATTGTTAATGAAAATCATCTTATACATATTTAAAAACAAATATGAGAAAAAAACCGTTCTTCCAATCAGGTGATATTTTCACCTAATTTTCTTATTTCCTGGATGAAAGTCCTGTTATAATGGTCTTTTGTCTGCACAAGCAGACTCTCTTTCTTCATTGTCCATTGTCATAGGTGAACAACCTAACATGCTAAAAAAGAAGTGCAAAACAACAGCTTGTACTTAAGACTTCTACAGTATTAAATCTAAGGAATGTTTTCCAAAACCGGTGTTTTAAGGATAATTCCATTTATAAAAGTTAAAAAAGAAGAAAATAAAACACCATTTTGGCTGTGGAGCTTTCTTCCGGTGTGCAAACTAGCTTTCTCTTCTTTTCAAGTGAATTCAGTGGAGGGATTTGAATAAACCAGGAAAGCACATCCACAGCTTTGGAGGGCAACAGACCTGAAAAGATCTGAAACTAATTGCTGTCATATTTGGCTTAACTGGACCAGTTTGATACCTTTACCCAGTTGTTTAGACGCTAGGGATGCATGCAAAAAGACTCATAAAACCCACTGCACTGTAATCCTTCAGAGCAGGAGCTGTGTTCCTCTGGTATTGACACTAAATAGGCTAGTTGTTTTTTTTTCACAAAATAAATAAAAAGTTGATTTTAAGAGTAGCTTTTCATCCATGGGACTCTTGAGTGTTTCCACCAGTTATAGCTGTAGGGCGAGGAGTAATCCGAGCACCGAGGTCCAGCTGTTGCTACTTCCAGTCTACCCTTTGTCAATCCATCGAATATGCTGAAATATCCTCAGTTTGCTGCACAACAGCGTCCTCTTGGTCCTGCTAAGAGTTTGTGTGCGTGCTGTGCTGTCAGAGGTAGTCACGTCACTCCTCCAGTTGATACCAGTTCTGCTGCACAAGCAGTGTGGGGTTCACAGTGTGAAAAATGTCAGATGGCTCTGACCGGATAGCAGTCAGTTAGCAAAGCTGATTAACAATTGGTGATTCTTCACCTAGGAGAGAATACCCTTTTCCCTTTGAGTAAAGAAGGGCCTCCTGTTCTTGGTTTTAAATGCACTTCTATATAGTTCCTATTTGTGTCTTCTAGTTCATTTTTCGCAATTGAAATTTACACTATGACGCTCCCTTGTATAAAACACCTCTGGCCTGGTTCAGCTTTGTGGGCCTTTATTCTTGCTGTCCGTTGGCCAGAAATGACTTAAGATGAGTGTCAATATTTCTTATGTCCTGCAAAACTTCCTTTGAGAGTTGTAAAAAAACATATATACAGCATATATTCCATTATTTGTGTACTTACATATAAAATTACATGTGATGTATGTACTGTATTGTAGTACTTCACCTGAGAGAAAAGTGGTGGTGGACATGTGGGAACTGATGTGTACATTCCATTTTGTCATGTGAATAATGTTTTATAAAATAATCATTATTCTTTGATTTTCAATACCTGCACGTCAGTGAAAAACTCATCATTCTGTTATAGGCACATCTAGGCAAGTTTATGAATACAATAAGTAGCAAAAAAATAGTTTAAGAAAGGTAATACTTGAAAATAAAACTTGTTTACCATGTGTGGGCAAAGGAAAAATTTCAACATACAAAAGATGAATAGATTAGGATCTACAGATTTTGACAGACTGAAACATCTGTCCCTGTTGAAGCAACTGGCACTCCTTTCCTGTCTTTGAGAAAGTCACTTGTGAGCTATAGAGAATATCATTAGTCCATTGCAAAAAATGCCATTATACTGAGTGTGACTGTTTAATCCCTGATCATATTTCATAGAAAGGAAAAAGACTATAAGAAATACTTCTGGTGGAGCACAGGAAACTCAATGTTTAAGTAAGCTTGCTTTTATGCATTGGGCCTAATGTGATATGTCAAATAGTAAAGTGGACCTTGGGTAAAATGATATGGGATGGACCTCTGGCAATTCAGACTGAAGATAAGGTTGATACATTTGGGATTGCAGAGGATATTGGGTGAGTTAAAAGAGCAATGCAATAAGAATTAAACAGAGTAATTCTGTTTCTGAATAATTCATTTTGTTTGTGAACATTTGTTCACACAACTGCTAATCCTCTTGATCAGAAAGGTCACATCCAAAGTATGTTGTGAATATTCCTACTGAGGTCAATACACTATATTTAATTTTCTTTTTCCTTAACCTCCTGGAGCACTGAAACAAATGTTACATGATTAGTTCAGTATTGAGAGATTACTAATGGACATCTGGTATCCATTTAGACTTTTTTGTTCCAAAATAACTTATCTTAAAGCTTCTGGCTTTGAAATTGATAAAAGAAAGTGTCTGACGTTTATGTCCTTGTAATTTCTAGTATGTATGAGAAGTCACATCTCCAGGATCTTTTGAATAATTTATTTATCAAAAGTGTTTAAAAGATGAGCACATACACTTTTCAGACAACAAACAGAATATATATTAATCCATCATTAGTATCAGATGGCACAAGCTTTACACATATCCTTACAAATGTATTTACACATCCTTTGCTGTGCCATTTTATGAAACTATAAAATGATGCATATACTGTACATTTTTTAAACTGAACATTTAATTCAAGACCTCAGTCCTCAAACTGAAGAATAAATATAAGGATAAAATAGCTTACATCAAATGTCAGCCAAAAGTAAAGAGAAAAAATATTTTCACTGCATAAATATTCAGACTTGGTCTTTGTTGGAAGCGCCTTTGGTAAAAATCACAGCTGCTAATCTTTTTGGATAAGTCCCTATCAACTTTGCACACTGGATTCATGCAATTTATGCCCTTCCTTTTCGGCAGATTGCTCAACCTCTCTCAAGTTGTTTCAGGATCACTTACGGACAGCAGTTTTTAAATCTTTCAACAGATTCTCAAAAGGATTCAAGTCAGGGCTATGACTGGGGGCCAGTTAAAGACACATTACTCTCTTTTTCTCAAGCCACCCCAGTGTAGGTTTGACCCTGTAATTTGGATCATTGTTCTACTGAAAGGTGAATACATGTGCATGCTTTTTTCTCCGTCAGTCTTGACAAGGTTCCCAGTCCTTGCCGATGAGATTCACAATGATCATATAAAGCCGCCAACTCCATACTTGAGAGTAATGATGGTGTTGACTGAGGGCTGAACTATGCTGGGTTTGAGGTAGATGTAAATCTTAATATTTAGACCAATTTTTGTCTCGTCTGATCATAAAAATGTTTACCACATGTTTGCACTACAATGTTGGTGCTTTGCTAAGAACATCCGATGCAGGATGGTTTTTTTTGCTGACTCATTGGCATTTTCTCTTGTAGTATCTCAACTACAAAAATCTGTAACTCTTTCAAAGTTGTTGTTGGCTTCACATTGGCATCCCTAACTAGTTATTTCCTTGTCTGGCTGTTCAGTGTGTAGGCACAGCCTGATCTAGACAGTGCCTGGTTATCTTCCACTTCTTAATGATAAACGTCACCACACATAAAGAGATATTAACGGTCTTTATTCTGAAAGCTCCTTGGTCTTCATGATTGAATCCTTGCTTGACATTCACACAGAGGCCAGTTTGAGCTCTTCATTTAGTGTTCTTGTGCAACCATGACATTTCCATTTTTCTTTCATGTTAATTTTCTGCTTCTTTCTTTTTGGTTTATGCTTTGAATATGTGGAGTACATTTTGTATATAACAAATATGAATTGCTACATCAAATTGTCATGACTGCAGGCTTTAAAGCAAGAAAATCTGAAATCTATGCAAAGGTCTAAATTCTTTTGCAAGGTACTGTGGAGCATCTTGGCAAACCTAAATGATATGATACGATGGCAGAAAACAAAACACTTATTAACATCTCCATTGTGTAATGAAATCCTTATCTGTTCATGCCTTGGGAACGTACAGTACATACAACTGTTATACCATGATTCTATGCTGATCTTAAAATCTGAGGATTTTACTAAGGGTTTGAAGACCAAGTGCTATGTTTTAGCTGCACTGATAATGACATATTGAGTCTTGACTGTGTCATGAGTGAGTGATACGAAAGTGAGAAACTGTATAATTCACCGGTTATTCCATTTACATCAGTTCCCATTGTGATTAGTTTGATCTCAGGCCATCCGCAAATTCATATATTTTTTGTTTGGGTGCAAATGAGTTCTTTTTTGGTAAAAATGGTCAAACCTCCGTCTACGTATGATGAGAGTAGAACAGCAGCCAGCTCACTGAAAACGGATGTTTACAATGCATTTATTAAAATATTCAGACACAGAAAAAGGAAGTAAAACTTTTATCCAGATCTTAAAGAATACATTTTCATATCCTTCATTAACCACTCTCATCAGAGATTTTTTTACCCCTTCATATTTCTGTAAAAGACTCACATAATTAAGACTCACATGAGAAAAGATGATTGTTTATATTCTCTACTACTTCGCACAGCCTCAAAAAGTTCTTTACTGTCTTGCTAGCACAAATATCCACAAAGCGTTGTAAATACTGAAGGTGCTTTGGATAAATAAAAAATAGGATTTTTTTGGCAGGGGTGTAGGGGTGGGGGCAGGACAACAACATTTTTATGTAAAATACAGGGGTTTCAATATTTCTGTGTGTGGGGTCTGTTCTGCTATAGATTCTTTACCCTTGTCTTCTGTGAATTCTCTACTTTTGGATTTCTTTGGTGAAATTAAGTGAGAGACTGTTGGATTCTCCAGTAAAAATCGTGAACTGCAGTGCAGCTTCAGAGTGGAGGAGGTCAGGGCCTTGTAAAGGACCAAATTTCTTAGCCTGTTTCCATAACAACAAGTTTGGATTCAGAATGAAATGACTGTGTGGTGGCCAGACCTTTTTCTCTTAGTTTCTTTTGTTTATTTGACTTTATTATTATTTATTTTTTGTTGCTATTTTATTGGTTGTGCTACTGAAATCTGCGATTCTGTTATATTGCTGAAAACTGAAAACAATTACTTGAGCACTACCGGCAAAAAAATAAAAACATTTGCTGAAAAGTTGTGTGTGATTTATTCTTAATTGCATCAAAGTGCTTTTTTGTGGTCTATTACATTGATTTGTCAGTTTTTATGCTTCTGACACACAAGTTTCATAAGAAAGGCTTCCTGTAAGTTAACAGTTTTTCCCAATTTTGTTTTTTAGGCATTTTAAAAAATGAGTTATTACATGTTTATTTAAAAAGTGCAAAAGAGCAATAACCATTTGCAATAAATATCAGGAAATCAAGATACAGATACACATCCACCTGTTTCATGCAAATCACATCTGGATGTGGGAGAATAAGATATCCCCTAAGATCTGCCTGCCCCAACCCTCATTTCAACTTTGTTTCCAAGTCGAAAGTCAAATTTCCACTGCTGGTGCAAGTCAATTGGGATTCAACCATGTCTTTTTTCATCTATGTTTCAGATTTAAATATATATATGTATTTAATAAACTGAACATGCCAGATTTAATACAAAACAAGAGAAACACCCCCCATTCCATCTCTGGCTCTGCCAATACTCAGAGTATCCCACAAAGAGACTCTGAAGGATTTGAGCTAAAACTGCAGTCACCTCCATCATACCCACTTCCCCCAGCAACTTGAATCTAAGCAGTAGAAATCTCTGTACAAATACCATGAAGAAGGTCTCCAAAGATAGAAAGGTTTTTAGTTGGGCTGAGGTCAGCAAAGGAACTCTGTCTTAAAGACCAAGACTGTAGTTATCATTTAACAGGAACACCAAGAGCACGAAAAGAAAAGTGTTGCCTAGAATAATGGGCATTGTACAAGACACTTGTCTCCAGAACCCAGACAAAACAAAAAGTGTAAAAGGTAAAATGTCAGAATTTACACAGGGGAATAGTACACATTTCCTATGACAGAGAATACAAGGAATCAGGTACAATCGGTAATATATTGAAGTGGGATTAGGATTTAAGTGGCTGATTGTATATTTTTTCCAAATTTTTTCAATTGTAATATTCAAATCCCTATTCCAAATAGTAACAAGTGCTAAAGGCTTGTCTGAAACCTCTAAATGAAAAATCCAAATAGAAGAAGCCAATGTTCTTGTTTTGCAACTCCAATCTGGCAGATAATGCATGAAATTGCATAGACAACCTTATGACCCAGGGGATGTCATAGGTACAGTACACATTGCAGAATAGGGTAAGTAAATAAAAAAAGAAAGAAGAGACAGGTAACTAATTCTGAGATCCTGTTGTCATGCCTGGGAGTGACTTGTACCTGCGTTTGCCACGGATAACTGCAGCAATCTCATGAGTGCTTGCCCTCCAGCCCACTCAATGGGAGCGAGAACGGGCCACATGTCTGTCTATCTGTCTTTCAATAAGGCAGCAAATCTTCTAACCAAGCCACTGATTAACCATCTCATTTAAGGCTTGAGAGACTGCTAGACCAGTGCTCTGACTGTGAGTTACTGTGAACTATCAGGCAATCAGTTCTGTTCTTGACATTCTTTCTCCCAACCACAGAAAACCGTCCCTTTTTCCAGCACGGTGAAACCCATCTGCCTGATTCCCTCAATATCCTTGTTCCTGTCATCCCTTTTGCCTGATTCCCCAAGCACCCTGGCATTAACTTGCCCGTCTCCTTCTCACTCGGCTCTCCTCGGCTCTCCGCAAAGAAGGCCGAAGCCCTGGGTTTGGATTCTGTGTGTCACACTGCCTGCAGCTACCTGCCATGCAACACCTGCATCATACGAAGACCATCACCATGAAAAACAGTTCCTGTAATATGGACACCTTTGTACATTAAAGTAGGAGAATGGCAATGCCACATCATCTGGGATTTCATTAATCTTTCCACTACGTCCTAAAGTTTAATTAAGTACATATTTATGGGAACAAACTGTGATCTGCACTCTCCAAGGAGAACAATAGTAGAAATTAAATCTTAAAGACTATGTGAAAGGCTTTGTGATTTTCTTCAATTGGACACCGTCAGTGTACTGAAATCAATAAAAACAGTCAGAGACTGACAACTGTTATATATAGAGTATATATTTATATTAGTAATGTATGTCTGTACCACAGAGCAATGTGCAAACACATACTCAGTACTATTCACAGAAACAGAGACAGAGATAATGAAGTGATGCACAGTTTCAGCTATCAGAGACAAGGCAAAGAACAGTTGCAAGTGAACACTCTTGGCAAGTATCCCTAATATTAGTAAACTAAGACAAATACTGAGAGTGCCTGTTAGCACCATTGACAAAGGATTGGCATATACAGTATAACTTAATTTCATAATAATGACATTTGATCCCAAATCCGTATAATCTAGAGCCACCCAAAGGAATTTCCCCTGGAGCCGATGAAAAGCTTTTTACGCTTCCAGTAAAAATCAGCATAGGGAAAGCAATGTCTCTAGCCATGTGTATCACATGGATGAGGAAGTGAATATTGTCCAATAAGCACCACACTGAAGGATATGTCAGCCATATTAATCAGCAGTTCATCTCTTTGAAATTAATACTTCTTAATGCAGTACAATTTCAAAGAGAAAGGAACCTAACTGAGGTTTAATGTAATGGGTGCAGAATTTGGCAGTCATCGCAGCTTGAGTGACGCACTGTTTGACGCTAATCAATTGGAGGTTTGAGCCATTCTGGGATCGGACCCAGAATGGACAAAGAGAAATAAATCTGGGGTAGTGCATTGTGAAACCTGGGCAAACTGCATACAATCATGGTCCACAAGTTGCCCTCAATTGTTCATGTCTGTATATCATCCAGACATTACCGCAACTCTTTCACTTCCTGTGTCGTGGTCCTGGAGAGTTGATGAGCTGGCCAGGAAGAGAATATAAGAATCCTACCCAATTGAGGTATAATGGATCATATTGTTCTGAGTTTTTATCTCCTTTTTAGGACGGAGCTGATTTGTGAAATTAGTGCCGTTGGAATTTGTTTATAGTTTGGAACATGGCAGAGAGAGACAGGACTGCGCAGGCACCAAGGAGAGATCCTCGGGGTGTTTTTCTTCTTCTTCTAGTTACTTGTGATGAAGGAGGTTGGTCTGTGGTTGCTCTAGGGGAGTCTGAGAGCCTGCATGGAGAGAAAGATCCTAGAAGAACCTTAGGAATCTTCAGTGTTAGATTTCATGTTTTGAATAAATGGAAATTAAGAGGAAAGTTTGAGAGGGGTGACAAAGCCATGTACAATAAACCTCCTAATTTGTAATCATTCCTCGTGTCATTTGCTCACATAAATAAAAACTAAAAAAACTATACATCATGCAATTCTCTCCCTTGCCTACACCCCACCTCCACCCCATCCCTACTTGTGCGGCTGTAGGCTTGGTTGGTTACTCCTCTCTGCATGGGATTCCCAACCTCCTTGTCTTATGGCCAGGAGGTTGACCCTTCGCCAGGCAAATGAAGCCAGATTTACCGTGACTAAAACACTCAATTAAACCTTTCTATTCTTTAAATTTTTGGATAGTGTTATTCCTAGTGAAATATGTTAAGTTTAAAAAACCACAGGCCTCATTTTGTAATTTCCCAAAACAGAATATCATAGGAATACGTTTGAAAGGCCCTGTAAATTTGTGAATCCTGAATTAAGTAAATTAAAAATGATCACTGATGGTGATATCTATCCACAATTACTCGTGTAGCCTGAAGTGAAGAGGAATAACCAAAATATTCGAATGTAGAAATGATAATTGGAATACAGATCTCTTCTAAGTCACTGATTGTATTTAAAGAAATTTGCAGCTCTAAAGACTCTCACAACAAAAACATCTGTTGTGTTGTAATGCCTTCCCGTGTAGATTGGAGTGAGTAAGTCAATCCAGGCACCATCCTTCCTAGCACATGCACATTTCGAAAAGATAAATAATAACACACTGCACATACTGTTTGTCTGCATCAGCTTTGGGTCATGTGGCTTCTTAAAATCTTCTGTGAACAGTATAGGTAGAGAAATAAAAACTCAATTCATTCAAAAACAAATATTTATTACACACTAAAAGAGATGCTCAAAACACAAAAACTTCTTACAATAGAAATTAGTTGTCAGGGAAGGTCACCGGTTTCAACCACTGAATAATTTTCCTCATTTATACTAATTCTCTCCAAATTGGACAGAAACCTTTATCAGGCTAAAAAGAGCTGCAAAACTACACTAAGTAGCCTTCCAGATCTGAACCTAACCTCTAAACTGATGCTGACAAGGACACGACCTTTGATCCCATTGATTTGCATGGTAATAAACAAACTATGCCTGGTAGATTTTATTTCATATTTTTGGAGTTTAAATAGCTCCAAAAACATGAAACTGTGGCTGTTTTCTCTAGATTCAACACATGTCCCTTCAAAGCTCTGTGCCTTGTAGATTCTGGTACCCAAAGCTAAAGCTGGGTGGTTTGCTTTAAGTTGCTCATTTTCTCCGGCTCTATATCCTGATCTGATCCTCACCATCAGGATTATTTTACCTCTACTAATGTTAGAAAAGGAATGAAGACTTTGGACACTCAGTAGGGACCCTATCCTTCTTAGGCAGCAATTCAGTAGAAGCTAACTACACAAAATATCACATTGATTGGACTCCTTTAAAATATTTTTGTTAAATAAAATGTAATAGGGAACCTATCAACATTCTGTTACTTCCCATTTCACCTGGACCTATAGTAACTGCATAAAGCAATTTACTAGATTAAAATGATGTTCCAGTGGCACAATTGAGCAGCGAAACGGGAAGCTGCATTTTATCTAATAAGGGAGATGTCATCTGATAAGAGAGAAGCCACTTTGCCTTCATCTCCATATTCATATAGAGTTCCACAGAGATACAGAAATCTTTCAGCTGTGTTTCTTTGAAGGATCAAACTGAATCTTTAGTGTTAGTCCTTCTGTCTATATTTCTGGTGTAAGGGCTACAAAAACAGTCAATTTGTGCTTGTTGGTTAGTTCCACACAGGCAAAGTTAGATATTATTTGAACTCTAAGAATGGCCTTCAGGGACTTTCACAGTGCAGAAAAATA